CCTGAGGGATGCAGAGGGCTGAAGACACCAGAGGGCTGATTGTTTTGATCCGGAGCCCGAATACATTATATATATATATACATACTGTATATATATACATACTGTATATATATATATACATACTGTATATATATACATATTGTATATATATACTGTACCACACCTGTATATCCCACCATACGATTACTGTATATACATACTGTATATACATACTGTACCACACCTGTATATCCAACCATACGATGGAATGGCACGAAGCGTTCAGGCCTCCAACGACGACATGGAGTTCACGGGTTCTATTCGCCGATCCTGTACACGCGAACACTCTTTTGCAGGCTTCTAGAGAGGCGCTCGGGATTCGGGACACAGCGGCAATGTATATATATATAACACTTGCATGTAACCAGGCAATTGATTTGGTAGGATGGAATGCCTATATGGTTTGGGTGATCTTTCTTGCCATCTACCCTTCAGGGTATATACCGTTCCAACCTGCTCATCCATTATAGTTCCATCCCACCGAGCACACCCCGCGTCGTTCCGCTAGAGCGCACTCGGATATAGCCTGGCACTGCCAGGCTATATCCAACGCAGACATACGGAGACATTTGCGGAGGCCGGCGACCGGGAAATTCATCTATGCCAGATTCTTCTACACAGATGTGACCTATAGTAGACACATATTTCGTTTATACGTTTGTTCGTTTGTGATTCTTTTTTTGTGAGTGCGTTCATGTCATTGAAGCCCTTGCGAGACACAATTGTGTGGTTCCTCAATTAAACATCGAAACGTATATACATAGCGCTTCATTAATTGAAACGTTTGTCCGGAGAGGGTCCATGATTATATAGGCTTCTGTTTGGTCGCAAGAACCACGTTTTTTGGCCGCACCAGGATTCTAATGCTCATTTTTGGGATCACTGTTCTTAATAGTTTACATATATAGGATGTTCCTTGCTGTTGGATATATAGTAGTTCTAGAATTTCAGATATACACAACAAACCGCAAATGCCAAGCCCTGCCAACCAGTTTGCAGTGATTTGTTTCATCCGTTGTTCCATCCCACCGAGCCGAGCACTTGCCAGGAATGACGAGTCTGATGATGCAGCAGAGAGAATGAAAAAAAAACGCGCGGCGACCGGGAAATTCATCCATGCCAGATTCTTCTACGCAAGTGTGACCTGTTTATGTGGTTTTTCGTTTGTGTTTATGTCTGTTTTGTTTGTGTTTATGTGTCATTGAGACCCTTGCGATACACGTGTTCTAATTGTGTGGTATAATGCAACAGTGTTTCCTTGCACCGGCTCGCTGACACAGGTTATAACAGGCAGTATAGGTGGATTCAGGGCATGGCAGATTGACATCGATTGGTGTGTTGTATCGTTGTGTTTTATCTTGAACGCTCTAAAGTTTGATTATCTAACATCCGGAAGTGATTTTTCCATGTATATCAATGCTGAACTGCGTCAATGTTCAGTTAATTTCATCCGACAGTTTTACAATGCCCAGGCCAAATCCAACTCACGGGATGCGGATATATGATTTCATTTCATGCAGTACTCCATGGCACAAATCCAATTCCAACGTCGTATACTATAGACTGTGGAATTGCTTGCGTGGAATATAGCCTTCTGTTTGGGTATTCGACGTGGCATCATACTTTGCAAGAACCACATTTTGTGGTTGCACATGGTGGCACATAAGCGCGCAGAGTTTAATATCATTATTTTTTTTAAAGATCACTATTCCTAATATGGTTCCACTGTATATGTACGTTGTGTTAAAACTTTAATTCTTACTAACATTTTTTCTATATGTAGGACGTTCTTTTGGATCATTATTACTAACATTGTTTTCTATACGTAAGATGTGTTTTATTTTTGAATATAAACTGTATATGCACCATGTAGTTTTTTTGGAATCACTCTTCCTAACATGTTTCTGTATGTGTTACTTTTTGTGTTACTCTTCCTCATATGGTTTTAATGTATATATTGTGCGATGTGTTTTTGTTTGTGATCACTCTTCCTGATTGTTTTTCTATATGTATTGGTTGGATCACTCTATATATGTTTTCGAAAAGGATATAGCACTTCCAATGGTTGTTTGTCATGCTCATGGAAGGGTCAAAAGCCTTGAATATATACCCAAAACGCCACTGCAACCATTGCGTTGCGGGTATATATTAAACATAATCAACAGCCGAAAATATATTTGTGTTCCGCTTTTTGTAGCTCTCACAATGTGTTTTTTTGCGTTTTTTGATTTATGGTTATCGCAAACCAATATGTTTATCTTAGTTTTCGTTCCACTAGTGTTATGTTTGTTTGTTTTTTTATATACAGTATCAGCACTTTTGGCGCGTCATAAGTCCAACTTGTCGAACTTAGCCAAGTGATTTTTTTTGAACATGTTCTACTTAGTTGCACTTAGCTATGTTGGACTAAGTTCGACCTAAGTACAACACGTTGAACATAGGCCACTTGGCTAAGTCCAACTAAGTTCAACACTAAGTTCGACGCTAAGTCCGACTAAGTTCGACTTAGTATGTAGGCTATGTTGGTTAGTAAGTGCACTTATAAGCTGGACAACCAGGCTATCTACTTATAACCCCAACCGCACATCCAAGAAATCTGCGCCGGTGCCCAGCCGACGCCAGACGACGCCAGGGCGTA